CATGTCCGAGTACCCTACCTTCATGTGGAAATTGACCTTCATGAGAGGCGCTGCACCGATCCTCCAGCGATTCCACCGAGGCCGAGGCTTCCCAGCGTGCTTCCACCCCGAGTGAGCGTGCCTCCATCGGCGCTCTGCTCGACATGGTGACCTCTGGGTGCTGCGAGGCCTGGGTAGTCTCCACTATCTCAGGATCGGAGAGTGCGGCCCCAGGTCGCGAAATACACCTCGGCCTGGCCATCGATCGAGGTGAGATACCTGAATGAGCACTACCTCTGCCCACTCTGCTCGACATGGTGACTCCTGGACGCTCCGAGGCAACGGTCTCCACTATATCTGGCTCAAAGAGTGCGGTCCCGATCGTGGTCAAGGTCACATCATCGGTCGTACCCTCTCCAAGCCTAGTGGTATTCTGTTGGGTCTCACGCATTTTCCCAGCTCTGCTGCTGGTCAGTCTCATACTCGCGTGCCCTGCTCGGACGCCCTCTGGGAACAGAACGAACTCGCGGCGGAGTCCTGGAGTGGCGTGCTGGCGGTCCCGTCCGTTCACGTTCTCGAGCTTTACGAAACGCATGCTCACGAAACTTCCCCACCAGCTTCGACCGAGTTTCCTCGGACACACCTGCCGCAGCACATACCTCGTCCAAATCGTCGCCCTCGAACTCCATGAGCCCAGGTACTGCTTGGTGGACTGCATGTGCATCCTCCCCTCTGTGTGCCTCCCCGCTTGCGCAAGGCCCAGGAGGACCTGCACGGGTTGGAAGCGCACCTTTGATAGAGTCCACCAAGCCTGCATACTGAGATTCCAATTGGTTTCTGATATCCTCCTGGCCCAGAGATGCAATGATCTTTTGGAAATTCTCAAGCTGCTGTACAACACACTCCATTGTTGGTAGACTCTGGCCCAATCGCATCGACGCTTGACGGCGAGCCTCCTCAACAGCCTTCTTCTCTTGAGCAATTGAGTCCACCAATGCTTCACGTTGGTCCTTGAGTTCCAAGATGTACTCGTCAAGCTCCGTGAGATCCTTTTCCAAACGCTCCACCTTCTTCGACCGACGGGCCTCCTCCTGTTCAGCACGGAAAAGAACCTGGCTCGGGGGAGTCGAAGAACGCTTGACCTCCTGCGTCGCCTCCCAGGCGGCGCTGATCCCCTCTTTGGCGGCAGAGGGTAAAGAATCTTTGAAACGTCCGTTTGGGCCAATAAGCTGCATGAGCCGGTGAAGTTCATCAATGGCCCCCGCATGCTTTGACCCCTGGTTGACAGTTCCTGAATCACCTCCTCCCTGTCGGCTCCTGCTGGAAGGCTTATCCCAGGCCCCATTGGAGCTGGATTTCTGCCATGGAGCACGGGACTCCAAGACCTTCGGGAGAGGAGACTTGCAGTGATAACAAAAACGAAAGTGATGAGGGTTCTTCCTGCACCCACAAGTTGAGCAGATGATCTGCCCGCTCGCGACCCCATCACGACCATAGACCCCGCGGCGCATCCCGCACACGATCTGGGGAAGAGAAACGCTTGGGCACGAGGGGTGCCCCTCCCGTGAAAATGGAATGCCTGAATCCTCACTTGACCAGGCCGTGGGACGTCACAATCGGGGGCCGCTGACTCCCCCACGCCAGTAAGGTCAAGTCCTGAGCCCAATGGCTACGGACTTGAGCCAAAATGGCTACGGCCTCCTCCTCCTCCTCCTCCCCCGCCTCCTCCTCCTCCTCCTCCTCCTCCTCCTCCTTTTGTTCTCCTCCTCCTCCTCCTCCTCCTCCTCCTCCCCTTCCTCCTCCATTCCTTCGATAACTTCTCCCTGTCGCACACCGAGGCCAGTTTTTGAAGCGGGCCAAGCGTTTCGCCTGAGACTTCCTCACCACTCATGACTCTGAAGCTTTCACAATGACAACCGCTTCACAGATGGAGCGACGGGTCAAAATTTTGCTCTCGCCTTGGCGCCGCGCACATTCGTTTTTCAACATGTGCAAGATCTTCACGGATTGAATGCGGGTCGTCACCGAAATGCGGCTCTCGCCTCAGCGCCGCGCACATTCTTTTTAACCATGTGCAAGAGCTTCACGGATTGAAGGCGGGTCGTTTTCAAAATGTGGCTCTCGCCTCAGCGCAGCGCACATTCGTTTTAAACATGTGCAAGATCTTCACGGATTGAGTGCGGGTCGTTTTCAAAATGTGCCTCTCGCCTTAGCGCAGGGCACATTCGTGTTCAACATTTGCAAGAGCTTCACGGAATGAGGGCGGGTCGTTTTCAAAATGTGCCTCTCGCGTTAGCGCCGCGCAGATTCCTTTTTGTTTTAAAACATTTGCCAAAATTTCACCGGTTGAGGGCGGGTCCTTTTCAAAATGTGGCTCTCGCCTTAACGCCGCGCACATTCATTTTTACCACTTGCAAGAGTTTCACTGATTGAGGGCGAGTCGTTTTCAAAATGCGGCTCTCGCCTTCGCGCCGCGCACATTCTTTTTGAGCATTTGCAAGAATTTCACGGATTGAGGGCG